TGACAGAATGGAGTAAGAGAGTTACTCAACTTGCTCGCTAATAAGTGGAAGAGCAAAAGAACATAAAAGCAAAAAATTCCTCATTTACTGGGGCCTAGTTGAAATGTTACTCAAATATGACTTCTAATGGAGTAAGAATAAGCAAATCAATTTGATTCACCCCATCCAAATATAAGACTCAACAGGTTTATTCAGGAAGGCAAATTACCAGATTCAAACTCTGACCTATAACATAGAAAAAACTAGTTACACGTACAACGCACTTAGACCTAATAGTTGGATGCTTTGTTTTTAATCACAAATTTCAGAGTTCAAGGCTTAGCATCTATGGACGTGTTGTTGAGATAAGATATACCAACTGATATGGTATATATATATATATATATCGAAAAATAGAACGAGAAAAATTCACACCAGAAAACAGTAACACGGCAGAACATAGATTTAACTGGTTCGGCAAATTGTCTATGTCCACGGAATAGCAGCGGATTTTACTACTTAAGGAATTTACACAAGTCGATCGTCTCGACTTACAAGAGAAATATTTAACTTCGTTGTTCTCTCTTTTTCTCTCTCTACATCGAGATACACTAAAGAAGATAAACTTACAAGAGAAATAAATCAAATTTCTCTTATGCTTATGCCACAAGCCACCAAGAAGAAGCCAAGAGAGAACAATCTTCTTCTTCTTTCTTCTTCCTTCTGCCGCAAGAAACTACTGCTTGCACTTTCCTTCCTCTATCCCGAGAATGCCCGAAGAAGAACACAAAAAACTGTGGTGTAATCTGACTGAAGGAAAGTCGTGCGATATCTTTTATCACAAATAGGAGGGAGCGAAGGGATTCTTCGCTTCACAACAGAGGAAGGCGGGAGCGGTTGGCGCCTATGGTTCGCGAACGGGAGCAGGAGACGACTCTTCGCGAAGCTAAGGGAGGCGCGACGATCGGGCGAAGCGAGGGCTTTGCTTCGTGAAACAAGGGGTGGGGGTAGGGGCGGGAGCGTGAAACAGACTCCAGCTTAACAATCTCCCACTTTGAGACCGATACACAAGCTACAACATCTCCTTCCTCAAACTGATATCCTTCACTGAAGGTGTCGCCCTTTTCTTCAAACATGAATCCTCCACCTCAGCAACTCAAAGTCTCTCTCTTAACTCCAGAAGACCAATTGAAGTTGTGCACAACTTCATTTTCTGAAGATTAACACCCTCAGTCAACATATCAACAGGGTCCACATAGCCTCGCGCCTCCAAGTTATTTCCTGAATTGCTTGTCTCTGCTTACAACTCTCACTGCATGAGCAATATCCTGCATCTGTTGATCTGTTGAAAGTCTTTTCCAACAAATCTAGCATTGTAGCTTTTACTGTCATCACACTCAGACTTCATCTGGTACACCCACTTGTTGTGAAATGTCTTCTTCCCTACTGAAAGTTCTGTCAGCTCTCACTTGCTCGAACTTTCATCTTGCAAGATTTTTTCATAGTTTTGTGGTTCTCCACTATCTGTTTGTGGAACAATAAGAATGGGTGTCCCGGACCCACTCTCCTCTTCACTTCCATAATCAACAGAACTATGAATTTTCAGCAACAGTGCATCTTGTACTTCTTCAAATACCACATTTGTGCTATTATTCTCCACCTTCTTGAGATTCCTGCAATTCATTTTTATGTGACCAGCCTTGTCACAATTCCAGCAGGTTGTCTGCTGACCAAACTTTGATTTTGATCTCCTTTTATTTGAGTTTTTGTCATATCATCTCCCTCTGAAATCAACATTCAGTACCAAACTCGAATTTGAGATCTCGCCAGAATCTTTTCTGCGCACCTCCTTAGCCAAAATCAAATCACGAATATCATCACATTTCGGTTTAGATTTACCTATAGAATTATTAACTATCATTCTTATAGCTTCCCAACTATTTGGCAATGATGCCAACAATATCAGTGCATGTATCTCATAATCAAAATCAATTTCAACAGACAACAGTTGATTTGTGATAGTATTGAAATCATTCAGGTGTTAAGCAACAGAAACACCTTCCGTCATCTTCAAATTGAATAACTTCTTCATCAAGTACATTTTGTTATTCGCCGATGGCTTTTCATACGTACCTGACAGGGCTGTCATGAAATATGCAGTCGTCTTCTCCTTGACGACGCTGTGTGCAACGGACCTCAATAGGGTCAATCGAATAACCCCAAAAACTTGTCGATCCAACAAATTCTATTCAGTCTCATTCATCCTTTCAGGTCTTTTCCTCAATAACGGAAGATGGAGTTTCTTCCCATAGAGGTAGTCTTCTATCTGCATCCTCCAATAACCAAAATCTGTGTTATCAAACTTCTCGATCCCTGAAACTTTCACTTCATCTGCAGCTATCATTCTTCCTCAGATCCGAACAAAGCTCTGATAACAGTTGTTGGGAGATAAGATACCAGTTTATGTGATATATATATATATATATATAAATCAAATAGAAAAACGATCGACGAAGTAAAAAATAAAATGAGAAAAACTTACACCATAAAACAGTAACACGGCGGAACACACAGATTTATGTGGTTTGACAAATTGCCTACGTCCACGAAGTTGCAAAGGATTTTACTACTTGAGGAATTTACACCAGTCGATTGTCTCAGCTTACAAGGGGAATCTCTCACTTCGTTGCTATCTCTTCTTCTCTCTCTACACCGAGATACACCAAAGAAGATAAACTCACAAGAGAAATAAACTCAATTTCTCTTATGCGACAAACCACCAAGAAGAAGTCAATGGAGAACAATCTTCTTCTTCTTTATTCTTCCTTCTGCCGCAAGGAACTACTGCTTACACTTTCCTTCCTCTATCCCTCCTTCCTCTTTTCCTTCCTCTATCCCGAGAAAGCCAGAAAAAGAACACAAAAAACTGTGGTGTAATCTAACTGAAGGAGAGTCGTGCGATACCTTTTATCACGAACAGGAGGGAGCGAAGGGATGCTTCGCTTCACAACAGAAGAATACGGAAGCGGTTGGCGCCTACGGTTCGTGAACGGGAGCTGGAGACGCGACTCTTCGCAAAACTGAGGGAGGCGCGACGATCAGGCGAAGCGAGGACTTCGCTTCGCGAAACAAGGGGCGGGGGCGGAAGCGTGAAATCGGACTCCAGCTTAACACGTGTGTGATTATATATATATATATTTTATATTATTTAAAAAAAAAAGAAATCGATATTTGGCAGAGGCCCAAATACTAATTTTCGACGCGCTAGACCCTATGATGAGAAGCTTGCGCCATGTGTCACTATTCGAGGACTCCGCGCCATAGGGGATCGAATCCCTGACCTGAAGGGGCCTTACAATGACCCTTCCTGCGCGCATGCGCTCGCGCACGCACACACACACATATATATATACATAGAGAGAGAGAGAGAGATATTTCACACCCCAACATATAAGTTTATAAAATGCAATAAAAATACAAATAAGCTAGATGTACACAAAGGGTAATTATATTCTTCTTATATATAATATAGTTCTAATTGGTGTGTGTCATATTAGTAAAATAAATACTAAATATATGTTATGCAATTTTTGTGAAAATGATATTAAAAACTATGATTTAGCATTATTAGGAGTGAACGGCAGATCTAGGTGGATAAATTCAATCATCTTAAATCTAACTTCTAGAAGTATGGGTAGATGATTAAAGTGGAGAATTCCTCAGGTGTTGTAATGATATGTGGATATAATCAATTAAAAAGAAAGTTTATAAAAAAGTAATCAGCACACCAATGTTCTATGGATTCAAAGGTTTGACAGTAGAAAAATTGTTGATACCTGGGTAGAGTGTGGAAAAATGAGAAAGTTAAAAAAACAGTGGATGAACAGTAAGGCAATTGAAAAATAAAATTAGAAAGTCTGGACACATTAATAAAAGGGAAAAAATGCACATATTAGATGAGTGGATTAAATTAAAGGCAAGGGATGAGAAAGGAGGAGAAGACTGGAGGTTATATGGATGAAATTAGTTCAAAATAATTTCTAAATGAAAGATACCATTTAGACAACGGTAAGAAAGAACGAATGAAAAGAGAGGACTCATAAAACTAATCTCAAATACTTGGGAATAGGGTCATGATGATGATCAAGAATAAAAATTGATAAAAGTAAATCCAAACTATCAAGAATTAATCCAACTCATTTGAAACATCAAGTTGCCACTTAACTATGATTATATATTTATTTCTTAAAACTAAAATAGATACAAAACCCCACACTTCCCAAAACCAACACAAAGACATGCAGATAGCATTATCTCATAGCTTCCATCAACCTCATGAATTTTGTTAGAATCGCTATAACTATTGAGGATGAATACAATCGCTATACCGAAAACATTCCCCAATTGATGATAACAAAAATACCATCGCTGTCCCCATTGCAAAAAAAAAAATAAGAATGAAAATTGCTGACAATGCAAAGTTGTGGACCTGACCTATTCTCCCTAATCTGATAACCCAATAGCCTTTTTGTCATCTTTTCACCCATAAACAATGATGCAGTCATTTCAAGTATTTAATCATATTACTCTGTTCTTTTCTCCATTCCCTAGCACCATTACTCATTTGATATCCTGTAACCCTACCAGCAAGCAAACATCCCATAAGTAATGGCATCTCATTAACTCCATCACTAAAAATACCTAAAAATCCAACGTAACAGCGAAACATAAACTTCTTTGAGCTATAGTTTAACTTTCAGCAGCTAAACTAGAGTTTCAGCAGCTAAACTAGAGTAATGCCCAGCGAAAAATGAAACACTACCGCAAATGGAAAGATCAGATAACACAATATCATATTCAGTAAACTAATTTACTAATCATTGAACCATATCAGCAAATTAAACCTATAACCAAATCATGAAGCATTAATCATCCCACTGAATGCTTTGTAAATCCATCAAACATATAAAATCAGAAGCAGATATTGATAGGATGGAACACAAACTCCAATAGGTACAAACCTCAAACCGTATGTTCTTGTAAACAACCTCTTCGACATTACTACCGACTGTAGGATTCGTAGTGACCACCTCTCCCAAATGCAATTTGTAGAGCTAGAGCGACGTTGTCTTACCGGCATTATCCAAACCTACAACCACGATTTTATACTCCTTCGCCGGAAACAGCATGAACCAGAATCTCGATAACAGCGCCCCCATCTTTCCAACAGTTCAACACCTAATAATAAGCAAAAACCAACAAGTTAAAATCTAAGATTTGATCCAACAAAAACAGCCCCTTAGGGCTCCTCCCAAGACGAACTTTAGGAGCGATTCATGGTAAGAAATCGGATGAGGGGAATCAAAACAAGATCAAGGAGCCAGAAACTCGGAGAGAAGAAGAGAAGAAAGGGATCTCACCTAGTAGCAGGGATCGATGGGTACTATGAGTTGGGCAACTGGATCCGGAGGATAAATGATATCGTACTTATCCACTTTCCTTCAAGGGGATGTAGGAACCATGTCCTTAGAGAAGAAAGCAGAGAGGAGCAAGAGAAAACCCTTTTATTTGGAAACGAGGAGGAAGGCGAAGGAATGAGCCAAAATTTTTTAGACTATTATTTTTTTATTAGGCTATTTTTAATAATATGAAAATAATTTAGAAATAAGTTAAAAATAAATATCATATGAGTTATTTCTGAGTTATTTCATGATTATTAAAAATAATCCAAAAATAATCTGAAAATAACTCAGGAATAACCTACGCCGCACGTAGAGCTAAGTCAGGAGTCCGGACAGAAAATATGCTCAGGAATGAAGTCCCTTTACATAACCCACGTCTATTTTATTTATATTCCCATTTTTTTATGTATGGAAAAATGTGTTTTCCATTTTTTATGTGTAGACTCAAGTGTTATAATTATAAAATATAAATTTAGTTGTTACATATATAAATTCACAAGAAGTGTGTATATAAAAATCCTATTACCAACTTGTTTTTTGTGCGTTTAATCTGAGAAAAAATATTACATGCAAAGTCGAGATGTATTCAAACTCCAATAGCATCGTAATGCATGACATATTTAAGTTGGGTCAGGGTACTATCATGGTACAAAATTTATACTCTCAGAATACAAGCAAGGTATAACAGGGTATAAATTTGTATCATGCTTGTACCTTGGCACACGCATCATAATGTTATTGGAGTTTGGGATGTAATATTTTCCCCTAAAGGTAAAGAGAGCCACAAGAGCTATTTTTGCATCTGAAAGAATAATAAGACGAGGAAAGTGAGATGATTAATTTTTTTTGAAACATTTCAACACATATGTATTTATATATCTATCATCCAAATTTCAATTTTTACATATATGCCACTTTACCTATGTATGAAAAATTATATTTAACTTTTTCAAAAATAAAATAGTGTTGCTTTTGATGTAACGTGATGTGATATGAAAGATACGAGTGGTATAAATGTAATAAAAAATATTAAATTGTTAAATACGTAAATGCGCAAGAATTGGGTTGTACGTATTTAAATGCCCTTTTTTTCAATCATGTGATAGTTTCCTCATGTACGAGTAGTTTTTGGGTTAAATCTCTCAGGTGTAGTAATTGCAATGCATCACTACTCGTACACGATGGAATGTAGCACTTCTAGTTTTAACTACAATCACATCATTCAATAAAACGGGAGATTTACATAAATACCACCCAATTCTTATATATTTACATATCCTAACACCTTAATTTTTACATTTATCTCGCCAAAATCTTTCATATAGTATAAAAAGTACCACTATTTTAACTCGAAAAATATGAAATACGCATTTTCAAGCATAATGTCACGGACAAATAGTCTCACATCGACTAAGTGTATGGCCGAAAAGCAGTATTTAAGTCCTAGGTTGTCCACCTCTCTTAAGAGCTCTTTTGGAAGGTGAAAAGTGGTATCAGAGCAGATTACTGTCTGTCAGGTGTGTGGACTCTCCATGGTTCAGTGGGACCCTCGGTGGAGCCGATCAGTGACGAGGGCTTCACGTGATTGGGTGGAGGAAAATGTCACGGACAAATAGTCCCACACCAGCTAGGAGAAGGGCCGAAAAACAGTATTTAAGTCCTGGGCTGCCCACCTATCTTAAGGGCTCTTTTGGGAGGTGACAATAAGGTAACAAATATGCAAAAATTAATGTTCAGGTGTTAGACATGTAAATACAGGATTTGAGTGGTATGCATGTAAATCTCCCAAAAACAAAACAAAACAAAACAAATTTACCTCACTAAAAAAAATAAAAAATATAGATTACTTATTGAAAAAACAGTAATTGTCGCACAGAACTATGGCCTGGAAAATGTAGGTCATAAACAACAAAAATCCCCAGAAAATAACTATAAAAGACGCCACTTTTATCCAAACAAGGCAAAACCATAAAATAATAATTTCAAAATACTGCATAAATATGCTACAGAATAATACAAAAACTAAAAAAAATAAAAAATAAATAGATTCAGATGATACTATATACAATCATGTTCTAGTTGCTCTCAAGCATTAACATGACATGAATTTATCTAAGGTTCCGTTTGGGGAAGTTTATCCGTTTGAAAACGCGGTCTTATCGTTTGGAAACTACGTTTAAGCAGCTTATCCGAAAATAAAGTTGATTTTGTATACTAAATGCGGAACGCGGGTCGAATCCCGTGGTCCGCATTTTTAGATAAGCAGCTTATCTAGATAAGTGCAAACTGCCTCAAACGCACCCTAAGTCTATCAGCTTATATTCACAAAAACATAATAATTACACATCAACAACGCATATTCCCTGAATTTGAGCATTCAGGAAAATCCATTCTGTAATCATCATTCAACTCCAATATGTTCTTTGTAAGCTCCTCTACAGTTACTCTTGTCATCTCTAAATAAAAAAAAAATAGAGAAAAAAAAAACATTAAGGGTATATTGCAAAAGTAAATATAAGAATTAAGGGAAATTTACATACATACCCACACAATTCTAAAGTATTTACATATCTAACACCTAAACATTCATATTTGCACGCATAGCACTCAAATATGTAACATCACATGAAAAATAGTAAAATTATCAATTTTTAAAAGTGAAATACATATATATCCATACATGGCATAGGTATAAAACACTGTAGAACTACATATGTAAATATGAAAGTTTAGGTGTGAGATATGTAAATGCATAAGAATTGTGTGCTATGTATGTAAATTTCCCAAAAATTTAATGAAACACAAAACACTTCAGATATTTACCCACCGTTATCTCCATAAAGCCAATCTCTGGTGCAGATGAAAGCCTCCAGAACATCAGGTTTTAGCTCACTCTGGTATCGATCTAGTACTCTTCCACTCGAATCAAAAGCATTTTCCACAGTAATTGTAGAGACAGGAATGCTCAAAATATCACGAGCCATTGCGGCAACTTCAGGATATCTGAATTGATTCCCTCTCCAATAAGCTAAGATATCCAATCTTGCCTTTCTGTCCAGCCTTGGTTCATCTAAGTATAGTTCAAGTTGTGATTTTTGTGAGAGAGCTTCCTCACTCTCAAAACAATCAAATTCCTGGATGAAAACATTTAAATAACTTAAAAAACAAAGCTTAAAATGCAAATTAACGCTTGCTTAGCATAATAAAGTTGTAGTTTTGTTAGAAAAAAAATATGTCATGAGGTGAAATTTACATATTACCCGGAAAACGTCTGTAGTTTCTTTAGAAAATGAATTCTCAGGAGTTTTCAAGTTGCCTTGAGATCCATCATAGATAGTAATGTTAGAACTGGTGCTGGTTTTTGGAACTGGAAGAAGTTTGTTTGTGATGGTGTACTCATTAAAAAGAGAGAATAATTTCTCTCTCACCTTCATAGACTCGATGACTCCGGCATCATCGTAAAGCTTTTTGCAACACCATTCCACAAAACTAAACTTATATCGAGGATCTAAAATGACGGCGATAATTAATAATATGTGACAATCATACCAATATTTCTCAAACTTTGAAAGCATGAGTGTTGCCATTGACCTCAAGTACTCATCATCATTACACATTTCTTCTTTGAGTTTTAAATATGCTGAAAATACCACGGGGAAGTGCAAATTTGCAGTAGTATACTTCACGAAAGAAAAAACACTAATTATTTCATGAAAAATAGCTAAGAGCTTTCCTAATTTTTCAATATTATCCCACTCAACATTCGATGGACAGTCCTTGTAATTTGAGTCGATCAACTCTAGATGCAAGAAAGCATGGCGAAAATAAAGAGCACTCTCGAGCATAATAAACGTAGAACCCCACCAAGTTGGAACATCTTGTCTTAGACCCCTTTTGTCCTCGAGCGAGCAATGTTTAACACATTCGAGGAAGTTCTGCATTCTAATTTGAGATGATTTCACATACTTTATGGTTTCTCGAACTTTTTTTATTGCGTAATCAATCTCTTTTAGTCCTTTTTTGACAATCGAATCAATAACATGGGCACAACAATCCAGGCGAAAAAAGGCGCCTTCGCATAGAAGTCCTTTGTTGGAGCTCAATTGGCATTTTAACAATTCAATAGGAGCAACATTAGCACCATTGACTGTAAAACTAGATACTCTTTTATCTATTCCCCATTCAATCAAGAAGTTATAAATCTTCTCAGCAATGTAAATATCGCCAAAAGGAGGAGGCATTAAGCAAAAGTTTAGGATTTTCTTCTGCATGTTCCAATCCTTATCAATAAAATGGGCTGTCAGGCAAATATAAACATCAGAAGTCAAAGAAGTCCAAAGATCACAACTAAAACTGACCCTACTTGGTGTTTCCTCCAACAAGGTTTGCACTTTAACCCTCTCCCTCTTATATATTGTAATACAATCCACTCCAATATTATCTCTATTCCCAAGCTGTAAATTCGGACACAGCTGAAGCAAAAGAGATCTAATGCCTTGCCATTCAACAAATTGGAAAGGGAGATCATGCAAAATAACAGCTTCTGCTAGTAATTCTCTGAACTTCTCATGATCAAATTTAGGAGCAGAGGAAGGTACAGAACTATCAAATTGTGTAAGAATCAGTTGTCCTGTATCGCAATTAACTCTTTTTAAACAGTTGACCAGATGACGTTTCATATTACCAGTGCCGAACTTGCTGTCGTACAAATAGGATGTCCCGCAATTCCTACATTTACACCTTTGCCTCCCGTCCTTTCCTGAAGGGAGCAATTCGAAGTATCCCCAAACGACCGACCTTCGCTTACGCTTTGCAGACATCGTGATCGGTGCTGCATTAATTTCTGTTTCGAATCCCACTATATCATTGCCGCCTTCAACCATGGTGTCCGTCTGGTTCTGATCATTTAGTCCCATGGAGCTCATATCAGCCTGCTCGCTTTTCTACATGGCAAGAAATATTTAGAGTAGCAGAGAATAAGAATTGATGAAACAGGAATAATAATAAAAAAAACAAGCTTTTTTGTTTATATAACTGATATTGATTGCTACTTTTACGTCAAAATTCATGAACAGGACCGACTGTTGAACATGAAAGTTCTGCTTGCTCTAATTGAAGAACAATAGGCTTC